TCTTCACATTGGCCCCAGGCCCTATGAAGGCATCGCCAGACACAGACAGCCCACCTCCAGGCCTACTCCCAAATGCTCAAAACCAGTCCCCCCCTCATATACATTTCTAGCTCTGTTTCAGTTTTTGTTTCATATCTTCTACACTACAAAATGGATCAAAATAAAAAGCATAAGGAACTCTGAGGGCGTCGTTTCTGACTTGTATAGTTTCTGAACGATGGTTTCTGAACCATGTAAATTTTTCAAGTATCGTAGTTTCTATATCCTATATCGTACAATCTCAAGACATTTCTGCCCTGGAAATATCCTTTATCTTATAGCATCAAGACATTTCTGCCCTGCAGTTTCCGAACAGAAGCTACAACAAATATCCACAGTTAATATCAATAAAAAGCACCATTATCTGAAATGGATTTTTCTCTTCACCTGAACACTGGTGTTGAACTAATCGTAGTTTCTATATCCTATTTCGTACAATATCAAGACATTTCTGCCCTGGAAATACCCTTTAGCTTAGCATCAAGACATTTCTGCCCTGCAGTTTTTGAGTATAGAAAAGAAGAGCTGTGCTGGATTAGTGTTGGATTCTGCTAGCGGTGCTTGAATGAGTAGCTTACAGTATAGCTTACGAGCCACTGGGACCATAGTCATGGGCGCTTCCCGGTCAAGTAGTTTATTGATCCGAGGGATGCAGTCACTTTCAATTTCGAAGCTTGGCTCGGATCCATTTTCTGTTGAACATCAATGAACTTCTAAAGTTGAAATTCAATTTAACCCAGGTCTTCAGCAGCTTCCAGTGATCTAAGGATCTGGGTTGGCTAGCCAATGTGGCCAAACACTTGCCCAAGGGCCTCCCGAGTTCCCGGTGCTTAGATCCGGTGGATCTAAGCGCTGGAAACCTCTCCGTTAGCGCTGGAAGGGCTTCTGGAGCGCTGGAACCACTCCGAAACCTAGCTTTCAGTGCCCCGGACGGGTTCCCGGTGGATCTAAGCGCTGGAAACCTCTCCGGGCCTTCGTCAAGCAAAATTGATCTGGGATCAATTTTGCTTGAGGAAGCCTTCCCGTAGATTAATTTTGCTTGACCAAGCCTTCCCGTAGATCAATTTGGCTTGACGAAGGCCCGGAGAGGTTTCCAGCGCTTGGATCCACCGGATCTAAGCACCGGGAACCCGTCCGGGGCACTGGAAGCTAGGTTTTGGAGTGGTTCCAGCGCTCCAGAAGCTCTTCGAGCGCTAACGGAGAGGTTTCCAGCGCTTAGATCCACCGGATCTAAGCACTGGGAACTCGGGAGGCCATTGTCGATTTCACGCGTTTGAGTCCAAGCTTTCAAACATAGACGCATGTAAAATAGCAAATGAAATGTATAAATGGAACAAACGTACGGGGGACCCTCATATACATTTTTAAGGTGTGGGTGTCCCACCTCCCTGCACCCCTCACCAACCTCTCCACAAACGGGGAAATTATTCTGGGGCAACCAACCCCTGTTGGACATCAGAACAAATTGATCCTGTGCTCAGGGAAAGCACCCACTGCGAGAAGCTAGGCCTCCAAGTAGCAGATCGTAGCGAAATATTCTCAAACATCGAAAGTGGGTGAGACATTTGAGACTAGCAACGAAGTATCTTCACATTGGCCCCAGGCCCTATGAAGGCATCGCCAGACACAGACAGCCCACCTCCCTGCACACTTAGCCCAAACTGGCCACGAGTGCCAACCTCTCCACAAAAGAGTAAACTATACTGGGGTCCCCAACCCCTGCTGGACCTCAGAACAAATTGTCCAGGACAGCACACAGGGAGAAACTAGGCCTCCAAGTAGCAGACCGCTGCCAAACGTTATCAAACATCGAACGCCAAAATATTATCAAACATTGAAAGTGGGTGAGACATTTGAAACTGGCAACAAATTCGGTAGTATCTTCACATTGGCCCCAGGCCCTATATGAAGGCATCACCAGGCACAGACAGCCCACCTCCCTACACCCCTCACCAACCTCTGAACAAACGGGGCAAATTATTCTGGGGCCATTAACTCGTGTTGGACAGCAGAAATAATTTGCCCTCTGCTGGCACAAGGCAATCACTGCAGGAGAAGGTCCAAGCCTGCTCCAAGCCTCCTGCTTAACTCTCACTTCCTGCCCTATAGGATCGGCTCCAAGCCTTTCCTGCTTTAGGAGGCTATAACCCCCCCCGAATATTATTCCAGGGTACAAGGTATGTCAAAAACACATGAATATTATGAATAAATCCTGGACCAGGATGTAAAGGCTTCGTGTAGATTACTTGTACCTACATGGGAGGTGTCCAGGACCTTAGGCATCCAAATGTATATATATATATATTTTCGCCTATTCTATTCTTATTAGATCCTACAGTCAGAAGCAAGACACCGGATGCAATGTCCACATGTCTGGAGCTTGGCCTGGGAAAAAAGATAAAGCCATATTGTTTCACCTTTCGCCTCTAGCTTGTCAGAATGTCTCAGTGGCTCGGCTCTGACGTAGGCCAAACTCTTTCGATCAAAATGCCGAGTGCTTTGCACTCAAACCCTTCCATGGCTTGTTGGCCATGCTCCCACATTCAAGGTTAGCGTGTGGGGGACCGGGATCTCTCACGAGCTAGCAATTTCAAAGACTTCAGCTCTTGGAGAATGTCCTTTTGCACGGCCAAAGTGGCAGAGAGAACATCCAAGACTGACGATTGCAGTGGCTCAGTCTCCACTGGAATCACACTAGGAGGTTGACATGATTCAGCCGGTGGCTGAGACTCCAACTCCAACACAGACTCTGGTTCAGGCATCTGTGAGTCAGCATTCCCAGCATCTTGTGAATCGGCAACGAATTGCGGCGAGCTGTCCAGTCCAGGCAAAAAAAGTGTATCCTGCGATTCATCACGTTGCTCCTGAACCGACATCTTTCGGCTTCTCTCTGGGACGCGTGCCACTTGTGAGCCAAAATCTCACACATTCTCAATGCATGCTGGGACTCTCAAAGCACACCACAAAAACCATCCGAAACATTCCAAAAACATCCAAAAACCATTGCGACCTCATCCCACATCATCCCACCGTTTCCCACCCCCTATGCAGCACAAGTCACCTAGACCATAGACAAGGTCGTAAGATCTGGCATATGCTGTCTCGTCACGGACAACCATGAACTCGTTGCAGCCGTCCATGTTCAGCATTGACAGGGCCTGTCGAGCTGCCTGCTCGAGATCTGATCCTCTGGCGCCGAAAAAGAAAGGTAAGAAGTCGGAGCGCAACGACTGCGGGCGCACACCAGACTGTCGAGAAATTCCAAATGCCTTTTGGATGTGCTTGTTGTTCAGCAACCCTCCCAAACTAAATCCCAGCTTGAGCAAACCGAGTTCGCAATTGGACTGAGATCCTGTTCGGGCTGTTTTGCCACGAAGCTGGCGGTCTGCTTTTCTGAGTAAATTTGGCACCAGTGCTCGAGCTATTTCATCTCCCTTCAATGTTCCCTTTGCAACCAGATCCTCAGACGCAGATGAGTATATAAGCAGAAAAAACATATGAAACAATAGAATACAATAGAGAAATGACAATTGTAGTACAGTCAGCATCTATGAGTACGGAATCTTTGAGATTTTGGTTTCGTATGACATCATATGAGATTCACTGACATTAGCTTGTTTCCAGTGTTCCGACCACTGAGCATGCGACCAGAATCTCACATTCGGTATCACTGAGACTTCCATTGCAAAGAGCTTCCACGTAAGTATCAATCTTCCTTTTAACATCCTTGGATGCTGTCACCTTGAGATTGGGAGTCAAATACTTGAGACTTCGGTCCAAAAACTCCTTGAGTGCAACAGACTGGTAGGCAACCGGGATGTGGATGAACCCTTCTTTGGCACGATGAAGGGCTTCTTGGTACGAGATATTCTCCAAACATTGCTCCGAAAGCTCTGGGAACATCACTTTCATGTTTTTGGCCAGCCGCATGACTTCCTCACGGTCATCTTGCAGAGTCAAATGTGTGAGGCGAACGAAGCAAATCTTGCAAGCCCAGTCATGGAAGCACTGAGCTAGCTTGTGTTTGTTGGCTTGCCGCCAACACTTTTCACAACAGGGGTGACCACGCAAGTTGGTCACGTTCGAAGAAGACATGCACCCCTGATCTCTGAGAAACAAATGTCCACCAATGCCATTGAAGATTACGACTTGATGCACAGGTGAATGTGTCACTGCAATGGACCCACTCTGGAGCCAGATTCTCAGGATGTCGCTGTTTCGTCCAATCAATGATCGGCATCCCACATCCGATTCCAAATCCAAGCCTGAGCACACACCCAAGTCTGTGGTGTCATCCTTTTGCAGTGCAACCTGATGTCGCTCAGACCGTTCATGCTTCTCCCTGAGAGACCAAAGGCAAAAACTGAACTACAGTGTCAAAGGCTTCTGAAGCAATCCCCCACTACAAGCAAATGGGAAATGAGCTAGATCACATATAGTTTGCATTTCATAAAAAGGCCGTAAAATTCATCAAGGAAGGCAAGGCGCAAAGCAAGGTCGTTGGTCTCATATGGGAAATGGAAGTGTATGCCACATTTGATGCAATACGCTGGGTTGCGCTTCATGGACTTCTCAATATCTGCGTCAGTAGCTTTTGGGCATCGAGCTCTCACCTACAGGGAAAAAAGAATTATTCCAACGTCCAACACATCTGCACATGATTCAGGAACAATAATATTACATACTGTAGATTAGGAACCATTGTGCTCTCACCTACAGGGAAAAGGAATTATTCCAACGTCCAACACATCTGCACATGGTTCAGGAAGAATTTTATTACTGTAGATTAGGAAGCATCGTGCTCTCACCTACAGGGAAAAAGAATGAAAAAGAATTATTCCAACGTCCAACACATCTGCACATGGTTCAGGAACAATCATATTCCTGTAGATTAGGAACCAATGAGCCATTGGCTCAACAACCCAGTCTTAGCTACTTTGGACCCATTGCCTCATCTTCTGAAAGTCTCTTGTACACACCAGGGCGGCTCTCCTCGCAAAATTTCCAGATGTTGAAACTTGCTCCTTCCCCTCTAGCAGGGCGTCCAGCTCTGGCTCTTTTGCGTGGTGGGCTGATAGCTCGGGAACTTTGCGGCACATATGGGACAATCTCCAAACAAGGTGTTGGCTGAGGCTCTGTAGCGGTAGCCCCTGTCTTTGGTAAAGACTGGTCTGTGCGTGAACGTTCCTTCTCCCTCCTATCACCAATGAACTTGCCAAGGTCATGGCGAATCATGAGTGCCCTACACGCTTTGCATGATATCTCTTGGTCACCAGCGATGCCCAAAAGAAATTCCTCCCAGTGCCCTTTTGGTAGCTTTTCCTTCGGGCATGCTTCTGCAAGGAGATTCTTGTGCAGGGCTTGGAAGTGCTGATTGTAGTTGACCCCAGCATCAGTAAGAACATCTTTGGCAAATGAGATCTGCTTCATGCGCAACTTTTTGGCGGATCTTTGAGACATGATCTTCTCAATCGATTGCTCCAAGTCCTCATCCGCCAGTTTTTTCTTGTGCCTTTTATTCTTTGTCTTTTTGATTCCGGTCTCTTGCTGCATGTCAAGCTCTTCCTTCATCTGCTTCTCCTCCTTCTCGGCTTTCAGCTGTTTCTTCAACCGTCTAAACCTTGAAAGCTCCCCCTCCAATTGTCTTTCAAGATCTTTCTGGACCCGATCCATGTATTCCTTCATCCCTTCTGAAAGTGTACTGTCTGATTCGGAATCCTCTTCATTCGGTGGACTCGTGGCTGGACAATTGGCAGGCGTCGCTGGCTTGGATGTAGACTCAGGCTTCACTGAGTTTGGCAGGGCACTAGCCCGCACAGGAGTTGGAACACTCATCGCTGGAATGGACCCCTCCCTTTTCTCTGGCTTTGAAGATTCCTGCATACTGACTCTAGGCTCACCTGCAGAGGCTGACGTAGCACTGGTGCCTGGCGCCTGGTCTTTCGGCGCAGTAGGCTCCTTGGCTTCTGTCTTGACAAAGAAACGTGCTTCTGCCTTCACAAAGGGAAGTGGCTCTGCCTTGATGCACTTCCCCATGGATTTGTCCCCTGCACACAGGGACTGCAATCTGAATGAAGCAACGTCATTATCCACAATGTCGAAGGGCTGGAATGGTCCATCGGTTTCCAAAACCTGATCTGCCCATCCCTGCTGCAACAGGCTGGCGGCATACAATACCACCCTGTGCCCACAAGACCAAAAATCATTCTGCTTCGGCGTCTTACCATCACACAACTGAATGGTAGTCCTGGATTGCAATACTGCCAAAACAGGAAGGGTGGAAAAAAACATAGTCCGTTGACCCTATGGCAAACACAAAAAATAGTTAAAATTTAAAAAACTATCCAATCAAAACACTTACATCAAACTCACCGAAAGTCCCAGGATAGACGGCAGCGTAAGCTACAGCAATCGGCTTGCAGGCTTGTTGCGCAGCTTTTCGGATGTGAGGATCAGCTTTCCCATCGTAAAGCACTGCCTGCCACTCACCGGCACGGATGGCCATCAGTGCTTGATGGTTGTCTGAATACCTGAGCCATGGATTGCTTATTGCTTCACCAACCCTAGAACCGGAAAAGGAAAGCAATGGAAAACATAAAACAACAGAAAAAAAAGGAACCACAAGGATCGCTAGGCTTTGTTTAGCTGCACCAAAGCCAGAATATTTTTTGGAAACCCTTCTAGTTGTATCAGCTTCAATCGCTCCACAAAGCTGACGCTGACGTCCAGCAAAACTACATCTTGAGGCCACTGGTCGCCCAAACGCCGCTGCAAAAGTTCCACCATCCCTCGTAGTAGAACTCCCCAGTGCACCTGCTGTCCTTAACATTGCGTTGTTTACCTTTTGTTTTGCCCTGTCTTACCTCCTTACCACCCAAGAATAATTTGGCGTGATACATATTGATACAACGACAGTTCACACACAGAACATTTTCCTAATACTTTTATATCTGGAAAAATTTTTGAGCCTTAAAAACATGCCATCTACTTTGGAATAATTTAGACTATTTAGGACATATCCCCCAAACAAGTTCTCCACAGAAATGGTTCTGGATTCATTAGAATACAAATTAATAATGCTGCAACTCGTAACAGGCTTCAAACCCTGGAATAATTGGAATTGCAGCCAAATGTCCCATCTGAAAAGTGTCCTTTGCCCACGGATCATAGGCAGAAAGCAACCCATCAACCACGTCCGTCCACATGGCAGCCTTCGCCTACCACAACTGCGGTTTCAAACCAATCCAGATTGACACAATAGAGATTCAATAGAAACAAGTTGGAGGGATTTGAAAGACATCAAAAAAGAAAACCCCAAAGGCCTCCACACCGCCATTGAAATCCAGGTACTTCACGACGCTGGCGTCTAGATGTTCACGGCAAAAAGCAAAAACATCATCGTCAGAAGTCATTTTAGCCTTGTGCTTGTCATCCAGGTTCGCATAGTCAGCCGTTGTCGCTCCAGGATTCTTCTTCTTGAAATTCAACCAAGAAGAAAACTCGCTGAGAGAAACTTGCCAGTAAGCCCGCCTCGTGAAAATAAAGCAAAAGTTGCCTGAAAAAATCCTACATCATGAATCTGCCGACTCTCTGCCACTATATACAAAGAATGGCAGTTCTTATACAAACCATGCAAACGAACAAACTTAATCAACATGTAAAGATTTTTTCATATCTGTAAGTACATTGATAGCGCGACCAAATGTGATCGACAAAAACAAAGCAACAAGAAACAATGGCTTAGCGCAAGCCAGACACACTGCAGAGAAACGAAGCTCGAAGAAAACCTTCTGCGCCACTTCCTCGCTGATCTCCATCCACTCAGCAAAAACCTGCCAACAATCCACAATCACAAGAATCTTGTTGGACCAACAGGTTTCCAGAAGCTTTTTACAATTGGGGTTCAAGCACATAAAGAGGCTTGGCAAGTTTAAAAAAGTACGAGATTTGGATCAAAAAAACAAACGTGCAAAAGAGTCACCTGTTGTGGCAGCCGTATGATGTTCTCCAACCCAAGAACACCGAAGCCATGCTCCAATTTCAGAGCTCCTAGCAAAGAAACCCCTCAACGAAATAGATACTTTGTTGCCTTATCCCAAACAGCCTTGTCCTCGCCCCCCCCCCAAAGAACAAAAAACATCGGACATGTCCTGTCATGTCAGCACATGAGGTCCCATGACACCCAGGTTGAGCGAGGTTGAGCCACATCCCCATGTGGCATTGGTCCTCAGCTGTTGTTGTTCTCTTTGCAATGCAAATTTCATTTGTAGAGGGGCCCACAAATAAAAGATCAAAACGCATAAATACATATAAACAATCAATGAAAAGTAGATAATCAGAGAGTGGGCAAGCATCCGGGAGGTGAGATGTTGGCTTCCTTCTTCACTACTTCCAGCTTCGTCTCCACATGTGCACTCCCTGCGGCGTTCATGTCTTGAGACTCCACTGGACCTTGCCAAGACCAGCCCCTATTGATCCCTATTGGATTGTGAAGGAACTAGTCTATGATCCACCCCTTCGTAGAATCCAAAAAGCCCCATAGAAGAAAACATAAGACAAAATATAAAAACAAAAAAAAGAAAAATATAAAAAAGGTTGACATTCCATCCATGCTTCCAGCTCCACCAGTACTTGCGACTGCTGCATTCTGCTCATCACCTTGGAGCTTCCCCCCCCTTCTTTTTGGATGGGCCATGCCAGACACCCTTGGAAAAATCGGTTGTGCCCTCACAGTGTCAAAACTATAAAATTATTCTGGTGTATGGGACACGCTAAGCTGGTGGGATTATGTTTTTTCTTAAAATATTCCAAATTATTCTGGGGTATGGGAGAATGTAAAGCTGTGGGAATAAAAACTTCAGATATCTGTGTTTTCGTAAATGTGTAACATTGCCTCAAACAAGGCACTCATAGTTTTTGACAGCAGCGTGCTGCCCCTCCACTCTTCACGAAGATAAATCCAAACGTGATGACTTACACGCTTATATCCAGTGGAAGACACTGAATCATTGTCCTCAGATGCAGAAGCAAAGCATTGGCTTTCTACATTTTACAGATCACATACTTGAAATCAACACTCAATGCCCTCTACCGCCAAAAAAATACCAAAAAATACAGAGGTTCTTCAAAGGCCCTACCCAAAAGCTCTGGTCCACTAATCAACAAGGGGCGCACACAGCTGTCCACACCTTCCACTTCTGGTTGAACGTTGGGGCACGCGTGTTGCCATGACCTCACATGAACTCGAATGCTCTGGAATCAAAGCCATCCATCAAGTATCCGCACAAAAGCCATTTAAAAAAAAGGTTCCTAAATCGCTTCAAGGCACAAGTTCCAACGCAACAACCTTTCGGAGGATCGGGTATCGTCATTGCAATAAAGATGTGAGAAATTATATGGCGGGTTTGAGCCAGAATCTCGAATCAGTGGTCAGCCCTGAATTGTGAACACAACGAATTCCAATTTGATCTGATTCGATCTGTGAACTCCCTTAAATAATTATTCTGTGGTAGGCAGAGGTTCGCCTGGACTATTATTCCATGGTACCCCCTAGTCTGTGTTCGCCATGGTCAAAATAGATTATTCCAAGATAGTTTTTTTGAATTATTCCTGGATAATTATTCCAGGGGGTTACCCGGACCATGGAATAATTATTTAAGGGAGGAGCCATTGTTTCTTCATGGCCTCATGTCTGAAAATGCGCGCCTATGGTCAGAGCGGGAATCATGGTCGGCAGGGCAGGCAAACCATGGTTGGGGCAATCCACCTTTCAATCATCCACCACCTTGGATGTATGGCATGATGTCAGAGGGTCAGCATCGAGAAAAGAATGTCATGGAGTCAATGCTCGAGTCATTGAGGTCCTCATGGGTGTCCCCAGGGCGAGATGGTGGTAAGGGTCTTTTGGGGCCGCTGTCGAATGGTCGAGACGGTAGAGGGCATGGTGCGGGTCATGTTTCTGCCGGTGATCCGGGACTTTTTCATGGGCAAGTTGGGGGGCCAAGAGCCAGCCTGATGGAGGTCTTCAATCGCGTCTCCTCCACATCTGGTGACATGATGCATGGCATGTTGGAGGCGTCGAGAACGTTAGCGAGGCATGGGATTGCCTCCTCGTGGTCTGAGCCTCCAGCGGGCGATGGTCGAAGCTCGAAGGGCTATGTGTCTGGCGAGTTCCAGGGTGGCACGGTTGGAGGTCTCTCTGGTCAGGGACAAGGTCTTTCTGGTGGCAGTGAACCCCAAGATCCAGTGGGTGGTCAGGGTCAGAACTCGAAAGAATCATCGGTGAGTGGTCCAGCAGTCCAACAACCAGCTGATCGGAATGGTCAAGGCGGCGGTTCGTCAGGAGTTACGGGTGGTGGTCATCAGGGAGGTGGTCATCATGAAGGCGGTCATCATGGAGGTGGTCAGCCGAATGGAGGAGGTCGCGGGTTTGGACAGCCATCTGGCGGGGTGCCTGGTGGAGGTTTTCCTCGCGGGTTTCCGGGTGCTCCAAACGGATTTCCTGGGGGCGGAGGCTTTTGTGGGGGCGGAGGCTTTCCTGGAGGCGGAGGTTTTCCTGGCGGAGGCGGCTTTTTTGGAGGTAGTGGCGGCTTTCCTGGGGGCCCGCCTGGTGGTGGCTTTCCGGGTGCTCCTGGAGGAGGACCCCCTGGTGGAGGAGATCCGGCAATGTTTGGAGGAGTTCCGGCGTGGCTGGGAGGCCTGATGGCTCAACAAGAGTCTGTTCGTGCAGTCGAACTCCCATCGCTCCAAGAGTTGTCGGAGTCTGAGATTGGACCCTTGATAGCTGGAGATTGGTTGACAACAATTGGGCCCTTCCTGCGGGACATTAGCGCCAGCTCTTCGCTTTGGTGGGATGAGGTCTTGAATGTGGCCGGTGCTTTACACAGGGTGTGGTTGAACTCCGAACCAATGGAAAGACTTCGCCTGGTTCCTGTCACACCACCGGCTTTCCAACGGCCACCATGGTTGAGGATTGAGCAACGAGGATCTGTTGCACTCTTGAAGGCCATCCCGGAGTCTCTGAGGTCAGAGTTGGTCTCGCAAAGGGAGGTGAGTTCCGTTAGCATCGTGTTCAAGGTCTTGCGAGTTTATACCAACCTGGTGGGCTTGGTGAACGTACGACTCTCCTCAAGCAGCTGGTCGACCAGAAAGTCCCAGGTCCGTTGGGGGAATGGCTCACTTCGCTTCGTGCTTGGAGGAGGTGGCTGATTCGAGTGCAGGAACTTGGAATTCAACCTCCTGATCCGG